GTAAGGAGATATTGAGCTCTAAAAAGAGCATTCTCAAAAACCACTTGGCTTCCAAAAAACATGCCGCAGGCAAAGAGAAGTTAAAAGTGACAAAAAATCGAGACCATGAGCGCACATGCGTATTTGCAATGCTAAAGACTGTAAGACTGGAAGGTGGACTATATGAATGTTCATTAAAGTCAAAATTGATAGAGTGAAGCTACTCATGATCTTTATTTTCCTTAAAATCAGCGTAAGATCTAAGTAGCATAATTTCGGTGACAGATAGCATAATTTTCAGAAAGTAGCATAATTTTGGCATAATTTCTAAAAAATATGAGCACTGCTAAAAGCATAATATGCTTTTTTTTCGAACACAATCTACCAAAGCCTGCTCTAGTTGGTCAATAAATTAAATGTTGTTGCTGGGCGCCCTCTTGAGCGTCTGCCGTGTTTTCGACCCCAAAGTATTAGTTGGGAGACAGTCTCATTCTTGCTTTGCCAACAGTGGCCACAAAACTGCAGCCTGTGTATCTGGAGAGTTGTTGAAATTGGAGGCAAATTCCCGTAGAGCTCCTTGTTAGATATACGATCTCTCTAGCTTATGTTTAGAGCAACTAAAAGTCATTAAAAATGGTAATAAATAAAAATCAGAGTTGTCATTATAACGGCTGAGCTCACTTGATGTCACAGGTGAACAAAGTGGAAAGCTAAAGGTGGCACTAAAAATTTTTGTGATATGTTACGGGTGAATCTTCATTTGCCACGGCTGCTTCAAAACTTAATGGCAGCCCTGAAAATTAGTAAGCGCACGGTGGACGATGGGAAGAGGGGAAACGCGGAACCCTCCCTTGTTCCTTCTGATCTCATCAGGGCGGATAAAGGAAGCGTAGTTGGCAATATTAACAAAATGAACTAGACAGCCTTGACAGTACAGCCCCTTTAACCTGCTGAGCGTTAAACAACTTGGACTAATTACCCATAACTGGCTCCAAGATATCCCGCGAAGCACAAACTGCATGTACAGCGTTCTTAAGAAGATTACCGACCAGCGTCTGTCCGTTAAAAATACATACAGTATTCTGTCATGCGATTGATTGGTAAATGAATGACGTATGCTGGCCTTGCGTAAATATTTCCTATGACGAGAATTTAAACCAAGGATAAATTGAGCCTCCGTGGCCATCCATAGCATTTACGCAGTTCCATCAATCTCAGGACGACCTCTCGAAGTGTCTTTTCTGATCGAGTTACTATGCCAAAGTGTCCAAAGTGCCAAAAGGAGGTATATTTTGGTAAGTACACTGCTAATACCCTCATTGAGACACTTTGAATAAAAGGCATTAGAAGCATGATTAAATATATCGTTTTGCTGCGAATGAGCGAAACACTATAGTCGCGCCACGTGGAGAAGCAAATCGAGATTTAATTTCATTTTGCGTGCCTTACAAGCTGCTCTAAATTCAGGCTTCGTTTGGCGCAAACTGGGTGCTTTTAGCGAGGTAACTGAAAGTGTAATTTGTGAGGCGAAGACACGTGAAGCTTAAGACTAAGCCTACTAATGCTTGGCTGGTTATTGAGTTGAAATAATAGGAAATATTCCGCTATTCGTCTCAGATTTTCTAGCAAAAAATTCGAAGTTGAATTTGCAAATAAATATTCCGGAGATAATATATCGAATTTAATTAACCTGCAGCGTCGTAAGTGAGTAGTCGGAGATGATAGCTTGACTGATGACCTTCTTAAACATCCATTGCTATGCAAGCGCGTTGTACTAGATTACGAGAGAGTCAGTTTTTCTAGGTCGACCATCTCCAAGTCAAGTGCTTGTCATTTGTAATATTTCACTTTGTTTCAGCCGAGAAGGTCACTTCTTTGGGCAAAGATTGGCACAGACCCTGTCTTCGATGCGAAAAATGCAACAAGACGCTTTCCTCAGGGAGTCACGCGGAGGTAGGATCCGTCCTGAAAAACTGTTGGACAGACGTTTAGTTTTCCTCTCTTTTCTTAAAAGATTTGAAATGACTTTGTGAAGTGAGCTGAGACTGGTATTTAGAGAATGAATTAAGAATACATCAAAATTATTGACATCAGGAACACAGATTATGCTGGAAAATTAATCCGCTGGCTTCGCTGTACTACTTGAAGAAAAGGAAAATACCAAGAAGCTGCAGGGAAAAATTCATGTTTTTAAAATTGTTTAATTCGTCAGGTGTTCTACGTTGAAGAAAAAAATAGTGAAAAAGTGCTGTCTTTCCTCTAAAATATTTGTTTTCATTTGTAGCCCTGAGCGTCAATGGTAACCAAACACACTCCAGCAAGTTTGACCTCCTTTTCAAAAAAGACAATATAAGGGTGACAAAGCCAAGTTTTCATTCACATGACGTCTTAGAAATTTTTAACGGTATATTGTTCCAAAACAAAAAACGACAATAACGCTGTCGTAAGGTTAATTGCTGTGTCTCTAGAACCAACTCTGTACAAATATTCTTGAATATTTTAGAATGAAATCGGCAAACAAACAGCCGGCTGAACAGGGCGCCCCACAAATTATAATTTCAGTAGAATTTCTTCACAACGGAGGCATTTTCGTCTAGAAAAGTCTTTCTATCTATCTATCTACCATTATTTGCATCCATGACAATAACATATTATCTCCTTTAAACTATTGTAGCATCGTAGTTTAGTTCGGCATGGACCCCGAGTTTCCGAAATTAGTTCAACTACAACATTCGGTACATACTAGGTTGTAACTTAATTCGAGGGTTAAGGAGTACTTCAGTTTTAAGCCCTTCTCGATACTGTTCGTGAAATGCTATGACAACTTGTCTCCTAAAATTCTTAAAATTTCTAAAATTGAAATCGGAAGACAAAAAATTAAGGAGGTTATTTCTATCTTATTTTAACGGCCGATCGATAGCACTGACAGTCGTCTAAATCTGGACTAGCCTAGAGACAATAGTTAGAAAGCTGTTTTGTCCCAGGACTCATCCGCAAGGTATGGCGAGAAGACCCTGGGGACGAGGCTTTTACTCTTGTTTTGAGAAAGAGGCTAGGTGCAAATGGCCAAATTAAACCTGGCATGGCAAGTCATCTAAACAATAAAACCATCTGCTCAGCCGCGAGCAGAATCAGTTCGTTATTGAAACACTTGCGTACTGTCATTCAGCAAGGGTCCAAGTGATTAACCACTTCATTCAAGTTTTGCTCCGTTTATATAAAAGCTTCCTTAAAATGTCTCGTTATTTAAGAGGAAGTCTACAAAGTTTCAACTTGATTTTAAGTTCAAGCCTTGTCCTAAACCATTAGTAAGTGCAAGATGTTGTTTGCGCATGCCTTCTTTTTTAAAACCGTCTTTTGGTTTTAGCTCTTTTGGTCACTTGTTCGGCGAAACGGCGGAATGACCACGGATGAAGCCCCTGATGAAGCCGAGGAAAACGGAGACGAGAATGCTGGGGTGACATTCGCGTTTGCGTTTAGTATTTGCAGGTCGGCGAGTAGAGGACCAAATACAACAAGTTTGTTTTAACCAGTTTATCCTTTCCAAAACTCCTAACCAACAAGACCGCATAGCAATACGGTGAATTTCATGTAAAAACTTTACCAAACTCAGACATGAAGGAACTCTTTGACGTTCATACCCATTCTACGGCACTGACAATGGAGACTTTATGACCGAATTACAAAAGACTGACAGAAAGATCTTACTGTTCTGTGTTCGCGTGGTAACGGCTGTATAAGATACAGATTTAGCCAAGGCTAAAATCGAAGCTTTCGTGTTCTGAAGTAAAGTTTCAGTCTGATCTGAGCCCGCGATTACTTGAATTACAGTCAACTCTACTTGGTGCACGGAAAAGTGGTCGCTTACGGGAGATGGTGGCTGGGGTGTCTAGAAAACACAGACCTTGAAAACGCAGACCGCGCTTGAAGGAATTTGGGGGCAAGAGAGAACGGGCGCGCGGACGTGTCTCCCTCGCGCGCTTCGTTCTTTCCTGCAACCATTACTTCCAAGCACCTGCTACGCTAGTCTGAAATTTCATACGTCTCCACCCCCTTATCCGTGGGGGGGCCACGGATTATGGGGTGGTGATGTATGACATTTCAGACTAGTCGCTTATGGGTAAACGTGGCAAAATAAGCTCAAACTTAGTTGATTAACGTAATTAGATAAAGATAATACCTTATAAGCTAAAATTAGGCTAATAGGCAACGTTTTGTCCGCCTGAAACCAAGAGAGGATAAAGGGGACAGAGAAGGCATCCTCCATACACACCCTATTCCATAGGTAATTCATCTCGAGTTATTTTTAAGACCACAGATCCCAAGGGGGATTAGACAACAGCCAATCACATAGCGCGAATGTGTTCCGCGTGGATGACCCACGCTCAGTGCCACACGTCCTTCACGAATTGAGGCAGAAATAAATGGCGGAAGATGCGGAGAGCAATATTGCTTTTCGTTTTGTCGACGAAAACGACTAAAGAGAGATTTCTGCTACGAGAGAATTTTTGAAATAGTATTTGAGTTTGAAACAAAACCGGTTATTTACAATGTCGCCTCTTACAAGAGGTGGTCGCTTACGAGAAGTGGTCGCTATGAGAGAGAGCTGACGGTACCATAATTAACTGGTCAGCGGAGACCGCTATTTTCGGCCATTATCAACCTCTAAATTCTTTTATTTCAGCATGGTGGCAAGCCGTACTGCCATAACCCTTGTTACTCTGCAATGTTTGGACCCGGAGGTTTTGGTCGCGGTGGAGCAGAATCCCACAGATATTAATGGGTGAGTAATTAAACTACATAGCACTGGTACAAAGCATCTACAATTGGGCATTTTGAAGATCCGCGCAAGACTGGGAAGATCAGGTGTTATGACGAAGTGCATTATGGGGTTGTTTTGAGGGAAGCTATCGCCTATTTTATGCCCAGGAACCTGAGTCAAAACAAGAGATAGTCAAAATTCGTCCCTTCCCATGATGCAATTCGATACAACACTGTATTAAGAAATGGCCAAAAAGTTACTGGATTCGGATTCCGTATGACATGAAAAATTATGCAGATCTCGGAGGATGTTACCACTTCGCTTTTTCGCCCCTTCCATTCTAGCCCTTCCCCCCGCCATTGTTACAAAAAATATCTCCAAAATAAGCGATCGCGTGCGCCCGACTGGGGCAACGGCAGTAGGTGGAAAGGAGTTTGAGCCTCGCCACGTACAGAGATTCTAGTACCTTTAACATTCGTAGTTTTCCAACGAACAATTCCCCCAAAGTACTCAAGGAGAGTATATGAAATGATGAATTTTTTTATATAGCCTGTTTGATCCAACATATGCTCTTTTTCCTGATGTACTGTATTTTTATTGTTTGCAGGGCCCAAAAACAGCACAAAAACTGTAGGCCCAAGAATAGCTCTGAAGTGAAAAGTTTTCTTTTTTCGTACGAATTAGTGCATGGTGCATATGATACAAATAAAAGTGTAATCCATATAACGAATTTAATGTGTCATAATGGTCTACATATTATATTTCTAGGAGCAAGGACCTTTGCCCTGACACGTCAAAGGTCTCGTGGTATTGATCTAAAACTAATTCGCATCTGATTTTAAATCAGATGCTAATCTACTTAGATTATCCGCATATATTTTCCTGCTCGAAAATACCATCAATACTGAAAAAAAGCAAAAATTTACGTATATGTGACAGATGTGTTATCATTGGGCGGCCGTAGGAATCCAAGGATGTTGGTTGCTAAATGAACTGACATCGATATTTACTGTAATTCTGCATAATGCTTCAAGAATATTCAGACACAAAACAAAACAAAAATGGTCAAGCAAGGCCAAGTTAATAGCTACATCTTGATCTTCGATTGCAATTTGCCTTTTTTATATTTAAATAGACCATTTTCACGACGACGTCATTTTACTACTACGAACAGAATCCTTCAGAGTTTTGCTTTTTTGCAAATGACGGCTTTATAGCCGTTGTACAGACGCCTCCTATGACGGCTTTTGTTATTTAAACCTCGCTGGGAAGGAAAAACGAAAAGGATTCTGGTTTTAGTACAGTAGAACCCCGCGTTACGATGATGGTCGCATTAAAGGAGTTGCACTCAGTAGTAAAAAGATGCCATTGTTCAAGTGGCCAATTCCAAAAACAAACTGAAAGTGGAAAGGAACATTTTGATGACGTTAAATACTTTTAATTCGTTAAACAAATATAATTAAAAGTCTTTTTTATGACGATAACATGAAATACATGAATCAGTCAATTAAAAAAAAAGGAGTACGTATATTTTTAGTTTAAAAACTACAAAAAACAACTATCTTTTTTTGTACTTAGAGGTGGGGGGGGGGGGGGGGGGGGGGGGGGGGCACCAAAGTTTTGTTGCCCTGCAGGAGGGGAACGTTTGGACGTGTAAAAAAAAAAAAAACAGTTGAGCAAGTATATATGTGATAGGAGTTTTTTTACGCTGGATGATCAGGACAAAATATGCGACTTTTTAACCATTTTTTGGGGAATTTTTTTTTTCCCCATAAAGTTTTTTAATCCATCATAAATTTTGATTACATTAAATAATTTTAAATTGTTAAAAAAAAAAAAATAAAAGTTTTTTTTAAGACGAAAAAAAGAAAAACATGAAAAAATAAAATAAAAAAAAAGGAGTTCTTATATTTTTAGTTTAAAAACTAAAAAAAACAACTATCTTTTTTTGTACTTAGGGGTGGGGGGGGGGGAGCGGATGGGGCAACCAAGCTTTGATGCGCTGTCAGAATGGAACGCTTGGACCTGTTAAAGAAAGAAACATCAGTGTGACAGTATATATGGGATATGAGACTTTTTACACTGGATGATCAAGTCCAAATATGCGACTGTTTAACCAGCTTTTGCGTGAGCTATTTGTTTCCCATACAGTTCTTTAATTCAGCTGTAAACGTCTGGGCCCAGTTGTTCGAAGGCCGATTAGGGCTTAACCAGGGTTAAATTTAACCCTGGTTTCCTTTTCTTGTGTTCAAATGTATTTTCTCGGATAATTTTCTCTGTTAGTTTTAGAGCTTCCAATCATCAACTTGTAGACAAAAAGAATTAAAACTGAAATGCTTTTTAAGCTTTCAAATCTGAATTCAAATCTTGGACTAACCCTGGGTTATCTTAACCCAGCTTTGAACAACTCGGCCCAGGAGACAAACTTTCAAAATATCAGTTCAGTTACGAACAGCAACGGCTCATGTTTGATCATGTTTTGAACAGAACAGAACAAGTCGTTAACACAGATCGAACATCATACCGTAACGATTGAACGCGAGGGTTTCACGATTTCACATTTCTCTGTGTCATACGAAGCCCGTCACGCTTTTCAACTGCTCGCACCAACATTACTGATACGTTTCTTTCGATCGTTGTAACAAACGTGGAGGAATTTTGGCTCAAGAATGCCTCCTCAAGAGGCTTTTAAGGCCCAGCGTTTTTGTACGTTCCATTTGATCAGTGGTCGGGAAACAATCCAGTATGCGCAGTACTGGCGAACGGGGTGCCGGATTAAGGGTGCTGGATAAAAGGCGCCGGAGACTCGCGAAAAGCGTGAGTGAAGGCTAAGAACGCGCGCAGAGTGATGGGAGGAAAAAACGGGCTTCTTTCCCTTCCTATTTCTCCCTTAATTTGTCCCCGCCTACTTAATTGTTTTAAACTATCCCCAAATAAACGACCGCGAGCATCTGGGAACGGGGCAGACAGGCAGGGCTCAAGTATTATCTTGCCAAAGTAGCCTGCTCACAAACCGTCTATTTACTAAAATAAAAAAAAAACCGCAGGGGGTGGGGTACAAGAGGAAATAGTTTTTCCCGTGCTGAAGCTCCAAGCTCTTCCTCCCGCACTATCAAAACTTGTCAGGGGAAAAAAACGAAGCAACGTCTGTGGACGTTGCGTCGTTTTATAAGATAAAGTGGACTTTTTGCAACCTTTTCTCGGTATCCCAAAAGATTTCCTTGGGCACTTGTGGTGACACTAGTCAATAAATCCGCCTTCGAATCAAAGAAACAAAGAAAATGGCTATACAGAAATTTTCCAAGAACTTTAAGTTCTTGCTCCATGCTACGCGATGTTCTATAGTTCGTGTATAAATAACATAGCCTAGTCACAGGTGTAATTAAGACACTTACTTGCTAATATTTGTGCGACTCTGCTCCACCGCGACCAAAACCTCCGGGGCCAAAGAGCGCAGAGTAACATGGGTTATGGCAGTACGGCTTGCCAGCATGCTAAAATAAAAGAAATGTTCTTAACAGCGGTTACATGGTGGGAGATCGACACTGGATATAGGCCCCGAGACCTCGCCCACAGGGACCTCTCGGCCAGACTGCAAAGCAAGAAGACCCCAGAGACGAGGTTGGAGGCCCCCGCTCACATTTTTTCGTTTTTTTTTTTCTTGAAAAGGAGCATTTTTTCTCTTTTATTTTTACAATATTCATGTTCACATGTAACATTAACAAATCGTGTACGTTTCCCCTTCCAATTTTATAGGCGTTTCTGTTTGAAAACAGAGGGAAACGACCAAGATGATAAGTAACTCTTTTTTTAATATGCAAAAATTAAAATTCCTCACTCGTTGTTGCAAGTTCTAGTCCCTTTCTTGTACCCACCCCCCACTAAGAGTTTGCTGTACGTCCTTGTTCGCAGGCGAGTTTTTTTCTTCTCAGGACAGATATAGACTGTTTAACAGTTCCCTATTTTCCTCCGGGGGGGGATGGGTTATACCCCCTTATTGTATGGCCTTTACGGGAATGTGCCGCTGAACGGGGTATGGTTTTTGTCATCTCCGTCCTAAACAGGGCATATAATTTCATGAGAGTCACTATTGAGTTGATTTGCTTGATGAAATTTGTTTCTGTTCCAATATGCAAAAGCAATGACTATAACGTGAATTTTGTCAATTGCAATTGCCAATAAATGACTTTAGAACAAGACAGCGTTCATTTTGCCGTTTGTGTCGTTTGTCCTAAACAGTGTAATAAGAATAAGATTGAGGGTGTTGTCCTAAACAGGGTGTGCATTTTTCAAAGGGAACAAACCCCTGAATGATACCTTTTAATTTTTACTATTATCATCTATCTTATACCGTTCACAGTCCTCTGGCCAGTTTTTCGTAAGATCGTTTTAAAGACCGATCGGTTACCACTATAATTAACTCAAATCCTGACCCTCAACAGGGTCAGGATTTGAAACCCTCAGCGGCTCACCTCTAACCAAATGTTGGGTAGAAAGGTATGGTTTGGGAGGAAGCAAAAAAAAAAATAGAGGGACTGTCACACTACAACTTGCGTTCCCTCCCCAATCACTATAAGCCCTTGGGCTCTACCCTCCGTACATTTAAAACCAAGATGGTCGCCCGAAATTATAATGGGAAGCGATCGGTCTTTAAAACGATTTTACGGAAAAAGGGTCTGAGGACTGTGAACGGTATAAGATAGATTATAATAGTAAAATACAAAAGGTATTATTCACGGGTTTGTTGCCTTTGAAATTTATCATAAAACTTCAGTCAGTTTTTTAAAAATTTTGCACTTTCGTGGACGCCTGCCTCAGGGTATTTAATTACATTTAATTGATTCCTCAAATGCCACTATCACCTCGGATGGAAATCACGTTTTAAGATGATTACTCTAAATTACAACTGTAAAAAGTGTATAAACTAGATTTTACTGCTACACTTAATACCTCTGCGTGACTCCCAGCGGAGAGGGTTTTTTTGCATTTTTCACATCTCAGACAAGGCCGATGCCAGTCTTTGCCCAGTGAAGACACTCTCTCAGCTGAAATAGGTATAAACAGTAAAATTAAGCATAATTTACATGGCTTCCTATGGCTTCTTCTAGAGAAAAAAAACCTTTTTTCGTTCACCAGCTCACACTGGTTAAGGTCTGTAACAGTAGCAATTTTGGATTTCGTTCAGTGAAATGAATTTAACGCAAACTTAGCACTAGTGACTAACATCGCAAAGTTAGTACAGTTGTATACTGATTTCATTAGCACGTCAATGTAAGGGTTTTATGCAGAAGCTAAAGTACGAAAAATTCTTCAAAAGACTGTGTTCATTGAGAACAAAGTCACGCTTCATGCAAGCATACAGTGAAAGCCAAAGAAAAATCAATTACCCTAACCCGCGCGAACCTAAAATCACTTATGCTTGCATGGCTCAAAATGCAAACGAAGGTAAAATCGATCAAACTAAAGGGAAGACGTAGTCAAAATACACAACCCAGAGGGGCGGATTATAGACAACTTACCAAAGTACACTTCCTTGTTACAATTCGGGCACTTTGGCATTTTTGACTGGAATAAAAACGAACGCTTTGGAATGACCTCAGAAGCGTTCTGGACAGCTACGAAAAAGACACTGATTATTAAGTACGAAGGCAATATCAGTATTCTTATTTAAATTCAAACGAGGAAAAAAGATATATTTACATAGGCGTCATGAGCAGGTATGTGACGCTGTTGTCACACTAGCCTGTTGCAGGCAGTTCTGAGATAGCGGGGAGCGGTGTGAAGTCAAAAGGAGCGCGAAAAAATGAAAACACTATCTGAACGCCTGGAATAGGCTATTGTCACACAGCCCTGTCATCCCTGGTCATTTCGAAGCGATCGGTGCAAAGTTTAAAGACCGTTAACCGCCCCCCCCCCCCCCCCCCCCCCCCCCCCCAAAACAAAACACACACACCAAAAACCAAAAAACCCAAACCGCCGACAAAACAGAACTACAAAACACACAACAAACATAGACGGCCAGAGACACGAGCGATGAACGTGCGTAAACAGCCCCGCCGAAACAACAAACCCCATCGCACCCCCCGGGAAGAGGCCATGGCACCAACCCCCGTGCGCTCCCGGGCTGTCGCGAGCCACCGGGCCAAGATTAAAAACCCTTTACCCCCCCCCCCCCCCCCCACCCCAACCAAAAAAAAAACTATAGTTTTTTAAACACCAACTTTTACGGCTGAGCGAAGTGCAAAGTCCAACGAACTCCCACAGAGTTTGGGTTGCCTGTGCTAGGACGTGACAGAGAGCATGGAGAAATAGAATTTTGACAGTTGGAAGTAATTTGCATAACCTCAGGGCGCATGCTCTCCAGCTGACATAGCCCCTTTAAGCCAGTGACAAGTCGAAAACAAAACATTGTACTGAAGTCCGAAATATTGATTTTAACTTTAAATAACAGTGCCAATTCTTTGTCTTTACTTTCATGTCACTCCAGTTTAAATTCAGTGTCCATCCCGGCCCTGTATCAAGCTTTGTTGCTTAATTCTTTCTCAAAATATCAATCTATATCTCTTGCTGCTCTGGAAGTGAAGTGTGTATGATACTTGCATTCCCTCCCCATCCATTTGCTTATTTCCGGTCATTTACTTTGAACGCCCGATAATTCGAACGTTTTTCAATTTTCCTACAAGGTTAGTACAGTATGTCGACGTTAATGTCGACGGCCCCTCCAGGGCTACGTGTGACGTCATAACAACCTCATTTCCAGGGTATCGGTTAGCTTGCGTGACATGTTCGTATGTGACATGTTCGTATGTTGTTGATTGAATACATGCATAGCTCTACGTTCATGTAATCAGTACTCAATTTTCAAAGCGTTTTTGCTTGAAATCAGGAGTTTTTGCGTAGATGAAGAACGGATTTCAAACAACTTTAGCATCACAATGACGTCTGGCTTGGAGCTATCTGAGAAACATTCAGAGTCGGGGCAGCGAGGCGGCAGAAGAACTCGACATTGCATGCTATCTCGTTTGCAGGTTGCAGTGTTTGTTACAGTGGCGATACTGCTAATGGCAGTTGTCGGAATCTTGATGGCGATGTTCGGTCCTGGAAGTAAAAATTTGAAATATCGAGACGATGAAGACTGCAAAGGTAGGACAGATGGTTACGTATAGGGGTGTAGAGTCGGTTCCTCAAAAAACGCGGGTCTCGGAAAGTTTTGGCCCGAGCGAGAAATCTCGGAAGCGTATTTTTTGGGTCCGGCCCGGGGCGGGGGGGGGGGTACTTTAAGGAATTTTTGGTGGGGGGTGTGTCTTTGGGCCCTGGGACCCTTTGCCCTATCCCAGAGCCTGTTAAGGGAAATTTTTCACCCCTAACCTAGACTAATTTCCAAAAACCCCCCCCCCCACACC